CAAGCAACAAGGAAAATATTCATGCTTGGGCACAGTGTGCTGCAGAATGAGACCTCAGGCACATGTAATTTCACCATGGTTTGTCTTGCCCCTGATATTGCCCCTTGATTTGTTTGTCTTACACGCGGTCTCCTGCAGCCAGGCATTGCTGCTTCTCCTCTCCCTGTTCCACAAGGGCTCACACCACCCACTGTTCTCCCTGCTGTCCTGCCTCACAGCCCTCAGAACAAGCTGCACTTGGAAGGGGCTCTTGGTTAGCTGACCAGCTCCCCAGGGATTTCTGTTAGACCTCAGAGCTGGGACCAGTACAGCCCAGCCAGCTCCTGGCCTTGCCCACTCACCAATACTTGCTGTCATATTTCTTTAGACTGACTTCCTTAGGAAGGCAAGCTTGTAGAAATACAGGGTTTTTGTTCAATCATCTCATGTTTACTCCCCCAGCATCCATAAAACATAAAAGCTATTAGAATTGTCCTCCTTGCACATATTTACTAGAGAGGGGACAGAGAGTTAAATTCCTAGCAGGTTTGTGGATATATATGGCACAGGTAGAGGACAGCCACCTCAGAGACCTTGGGCTGCTGTGTGATCTCTGCATCTATGAGGGCCTGGGGAAACCCCATGGTATCTCTGCCCTCTTTTTTGCTTTGAGGCTCATGTCTATAAGGACATATTTTCTTTTCCCAGTGATGCCACTCTGTTCATTGTCAAATTTCAGGCAGCTTTGCCCCTCATCTTCCTGCTGCCTCTCCAACCAGCCCAGCAGGTAAATCCCTGTCCCTAGGTGTGACTGTGACAGGGACAGAAACATGCCTGGAGTGGGTGCCTTGTGCCAGCTGGATAGAAAGCACATGGCTGGCCTGGAGGCGATGTATCATTTGGCAGTGAAGGCTGAGACCTAGCACCCTGCCACCAGCGCAGCCGCAAGCACGGCATTTGTGAGCTCTGCAGCTCATCCTTTGGTGGCAACCTGGCTGAGAAGCAAGGAACAAACAGGAAAGAGCTGTCACCCAGCTGTCACCCAGGGTACAGCTGGGGTTTTTCCCAAACATCTGCAGCCTTGCCACTTCTAAGGAGGTGCTTATGCCTTTGGACAGGAGATTCTGTGGCTCTTCCTCAAAAGTCCAAGAAAGAGGAATCAAAGCATGGCACAGCAAGCCCCAGCCTGGATTCAGCCTCCTTCTTTCTGGACAGGCATCGCGGGAAACACTGGGTTTCACCATAGGAGAGCTCTGTGTCTCAATCTCCCCGGCAGAGAGGCTCCATTGCATGGCTCAGGAGCTCTCTGGGATGTCTTTGTGGGAGATGTGGCACCTTCTGTGCTGTTGAGACTGCGCAGCCCTTTCCTCTGCTGCTGGTAGGGAGGTGAGCAGCCTCCCAGGCTGGGGCTGCGCTTCCTCCAACAAGCTGCTGGCAGAATGCCTGAATGCAAAAGGACGAGGGGGTGGGCATGTTCTCTTTCACCGAAGAGCCCTCCAGAAGACTTGACTTTCCTGCATCCCCTCTCCCTGGCTGCTGCAGGGAGAAATGCCATGTGAGAGCGGTGGGAAAGGAAGGCAGCTTTGGACTTAGCACTTTTTCTTCACGATACTTGCCCCCCCTCCCAGCCCCTCGGCTTCCCGGAATCCTCTCTCCCCTCAGGCAGGATTATCTGCAGAGAAACCATAGGTGAAGACAGGCCACTGACAAGCTAAGGATTGCCAGCAAGCAAAAATCAGCCAGCGGCAAATGCAACAGACTGTAGAGGAATTGCCCTTAAAGAGTCCTACAGCTGGGGAAGGACCTGCTCCCTCCAAGACATTTGCACACCACTTCTTCTCCTGGCAGTTCCCTCCAATGCCAGTAGCGTTAAAAAGGTGGGGGACTCGGTGGAGGATGCTTACCGGCTGCCCATCTGACTGGGTGCGGAGCTGAGGCACACTGGAGAGGGCTGAGGTGCCCTGGGGAGCCGAGCTGGTCTGTGTGCTGCCAGGTTCTGAGCTGACTGGGCTGTGACACAGCCAGCCCCTGTTATATCACGTGCTGTTTGCTTTCTGTTTCGATTTTGATATGACTCGTCCAAATATGAGGAAGAAAACAAGCCAAGCCCAGCCACCACAATGAGAGCCGGGGCCAGGTTTGCATCTCCTTCTCCCGGCTGTGCTAACCGGCAGTAATAACTGACCTGGCTAAGTTCACCATGAGTGTCGTGCTACTGTAGTAGCTTGCGTGTCCACCAGGGGTTAGATGAGTTTGTTTTGTTTGGACACTTCTGTAGAGGTGACTGACTGTCCCAGCAACGACCCCAGTACCACAGCACTGTCAGAATTCACTGACATTGCCCTTGGACTTTGAACTCTCCTTCTGCTTCCCAGACCCAGCACCACCCAATTTCAATCTCCCCCTCGCCTGCAGACACCGTGCCTATGCAAGCACAGTGCAGGGGAAGTGGTAAGGTGCCTTCTGCTACAGGAAAGCTTTGAAACCTCGAGTGACGAAAGGGGCAAAACTCTCTTTCCTTTAGTCCTCCCGGCCAGATCCAGAACCATTTGTCCGTTTAGCAGTCTTTGTGGTAGGTCTGTTAGGAGAGCTGTGTGTTGGGGGTTGATACATGTGGGACACCTAGCCATGAAGCTAGGTTCCACCCGGTAGATTCACAGAGTTCCACCTAGTAATTCAATTTTTTGGCATGGTCTGGAAATCTCCATGTGATACACATGTTGTGAGCCTGTAATACTGGCACTCACATCCAAGAGCACAAAGTAGGTGAAAGGAAATATGGGAGGAAGTCCTAAGAGAAACTCAGTGGATAGAGACAGCATGCAAGTGACAGTGTGGAGGTGCCTTCCTATGTGGCCTGTGTATGTGGAATAACTTTAGCATGCAGAAGGACAAGGATCTGGATCAAGGTGGTTCAGATCATAGATGGCTTAGACAGGGGTTCTTCTGGGAGAAATCAGGGGCTGGGGTGGAAAGCTTGCAGCAAATAAAGCCCAGCAGTCCGTAGCTGCTGAGTTGAAAGTGGTGAGGAGTAGAAAGAAGGAAGCCTTGAGGCTGAACATGGCCTCCCTCTAATGTTTGGGCTGCTGGCTGGGAAACTGAGGAATGAGCAGAGACTTCTGGGGCAAGACATCTGTTCCAGTGAAGTAACATCCCTTGGCAGGAGGCATGTTTGTGCTCCCAAGAGGGGTGGTAATTCAGTTTGTCAACATGCCACTCACTTTTCTGTCATTCAGGAAGGAAAAGGGTGTGTAATTTTGGTCTGGTGATCTACTCCTTAGCTGATCTCAGCACCACAAGGGAGGCTGCTGTTTCACTGCCATGGGTAGAAGGCATAAGCATCTCCTTCACAAACATTCTCAATTCTCATTGGAGTCCTGTTTGCTGGGGTAATCAGGATGACTGCCACGGTGGGACTGCTCCATTGTGCCATGGCATTTCTCCCTGGAGCCACTGTCATCTTAAAGGGGTGGCTGTTCCCCTCCATATCTCCTGCACCTCAGCCTTCATGAGCGTGCCAGATGGCCATACATCCTGGCCTTAGCCTTTTCACAGATCTCCTTGTCTCTGGCCTTCTCTGCACTGCTCAGAGCAGTAAATACTATCATAGAATCATGGAATATGCTGAGTTGAAAGGGACCTACCAGGATCATCAAGTCCAGCTCCTGGCTCTGTGCAGGACACCTCAAGAATCACACCATGTGCCTGAAACCATTATCCAAATGCTTCTTGAACTCAGACAAGCTTGGTGCTGTGACCATTTCCATGGGGAGCCTGTTCGGTGTCCAACCACACTCTGGTTGGGTGAAGAATGATATTTCCTGATATCAAACCTAAACCTCCCCTGACTCAGCTTCAGGCAGTTTCCTCGACTCATGCTGAGTCCTGTCACTGGTCATGAGAGTGAAGAGATCAGTACTTGCCCCTGTGCTTCCCTCATAAGAATGTTGAAGACCACAATGAGGTCTCCCTTCAGTCTCCTCTTCTCCAGGCTGAATAGACCAAGTGACTTCAGCTACTCCTCATACCTTCACTACCTTTGTTGCCCTCCTTTGGAGGCTTTCTAATAGTTTATTGTCTTTCTTGCATTGTGGTACCCAAAACTGCACATGGGACTCCAGGTGAGGCTGCACCAGTGCAGAGCAGAGCAGGACAATCCCCTCCCTCAGCTGGCGATGCTTTGCCTGATGGCCCCCAGGACATGGTTGGCCCTCCTGGCTGCCAGCCTTGTGGCTGGCAAGATTTTCTCTTTCCAAAATTTACATCTTTGCTTGCTGTTCTGGTTTTCTTGGGTCTTGTGTTTCTTGAGGGGAACCTCTCCTTCATTTTTCTTTCTTCCTTTTTTGAATTACTCTTTGTGCTACAATCATGACTTGAGCCAAAAAAGAGGAAAGAACAAATCCATATCAACTATTACAGTGTTACTATACACTAAAAAAAGTATATGGCTTTGGTTTCTTTACTAAAGGGGAACCACAGCAAGATACAAATTCTAGTGCTAAAATGTGGAAATACTTTAGTCATAGGCATAGGACTTGGTTTTATTGCTCTGGTGATGTGACATTCTATTAACCTCACTCTAAAAAGGTTAATTCCAACATTTCACAGAGTCAGACCATACATCCCTTTATGGCATGCTGATACATTTGAGAAGCAATGAACCTATGGCTAGAGCCTTTCCCCCATTAATTGCAGAAGGATAGTGCAGGGTCAGAGATATTCTTTGCCATTAGGTTGAGATTTTCTACGCTCTGTTCCGTGGGCTGTTCACAAAGAGGTCAACAAGCTTCAGGACCTCTAGTGTTTCAGCTCCATGGGAAGCTCCATGAAAACAGTTCTGGTATCTGACACAGCATATCAGCTTCTGCTGAACACACGGGAGTTTTCCAGCACTGCTAATGTACTGCTACCGTGTCTTATGTCTTTCAGTACCATGATGTAACTAGACCAAGAAACCCTCCACACAGAACCAAACCCTAGTCTTTTTTGTATTTTGATTAGAACAATAACTGAGAAACCATTTAGATATTGAAAGTCTTCTCTGCGGTCTTGAAGACATTTTAACCATTTTTTCCTCATCTTCTGGAGAACAGATTAAAGTTGGGTGAATGAAAATTTTCTCTTTTGGACAGGATCATATCATGGTACACAAATTTCCTGCCTCCTGTTGCACAGATGACTTTTCATAAATGCCTTTAGCATTGGGGGTGGGACTCTCAGAGCTAAAAGATGCAGAGGTCAGTCCAGAAAATACTGCATTTCCACAGAAATTCATGACAAGATATACGTAAATATGACCACACGGAATAGAAAATCCTTAGAGGTAAACTTCCTGCTACTGTAGTCTGAAGCATTTCTTAAGAATCATATGAGAAAAAAAAGTAATTTTCTGTATTTCAAGCTACAAAGAACCACAATGCCATAAGTGCCAATACCATATGCTTACTATACCACTACCCCCTCTGAGTCAGTCAGAAGTACTATCACAGATGCAGCAGAGGGTTACTTTACCATTACAGAAGTAAAAACTGTCACCAAAAATATTTCTTTTCTTTTTTATCAGGTGAAACCCTACAATTCTCAAGTTCGTGTAGCAAAGTCTAAGCTGTAAGGTGCAAAGCAGAAGTCCTTGAAATCATGTAGTGCAAATAAATTATTACGTATTATTTCATAAGGTCTTTGGGGCAGGCTCTGCTGCAGTCTAACTGGCTTGCTAAATCTGCTTTGCTCTGTGAACCAACAACAGCCAAGTGCATGCTCAGCAAGACACAGAACATTTGGTGCTATCAGTAGGTGGGTACTTAGGAAAGTAAACATGGACAATAAGCGGGGACCTTGCACCCATAGGAGTGTACAGCCTTCATTGTTCATTGCCAGAGCACCAGAACCTAGAAGGAAATGTGCTAGCAGTGAGCTATGCACTGGCACTGAGACAATATTGTGATTTTAAGATATCCAACCATTCTAAACTAGTAACTGTCTGTTTTGGAGTGTCTGTGCCACCTGACCTGTCTTGACCTTTATTTTCTCACGTTATCCCACATATTATTATGTTGGATAATACTCCAGTCTGGATCTAAAACACAGAAAAAAAAATATTAAGAGCCAGGACATTTGTTTATTTTTTTGTTAAACTTCCTCTAAGCAATGTCAGTTCCAGGAAAGCCTAGAAGAATGTGATCTGTTATGTTTTTCCCCTTGGGTATGATCCACAATAACTAGGAACAAACAGCTGCAGCTGGGGAAGAAAGTGCCAAGACTGCAAAAACATTTAAAAAACATTCTTTATTAATCTCCTTTTTGGCAGGCAAGCTCTTACCCGTCATAACACTGCAACATACTCAACTGTACCAAACTTAAACTGTGCTTAAACTCTACTTAACTGCACCTCCTGCTGCACAGAAGCCAATTACAGCCATAATGATTTGTGCCCAGACTTAGAGGCTGGCAAAGAGGGACTCCCTTTTAATTTCGTCTCTCCCTCTGTACTGTGGGTGGCTCATGTGTCTTTTTTCTCCAGACCTGGTTCTCTCCAGCGCCTTGGGTGGTGTGACAGGCACAGCCCCAGCACTGATGGCAGGTAAAGACCACATCTCCTCAAGTGCCAAAGTGACTGCTGCAGCCCAGGCCCCTGGACTCTCCCTCAGCCTGACCTGACCTGGCAGATGTGCCACCAGCCAGCCATGGACAAGGTTAGCTGCAGCTGGTTTTAGTGCTGCTCTGCAAATTATTACAAATGCTTGTACCCTACTGCCAGTAGGAGCAAATATTTTTTTTCCCTCTCTGGAATTTGCCTTGGGTTTATTTTTTCACTAGTGAGACTGTTGTCAGTTGATACATAATAGTGTAATAATGTGATGGAGACAGTTTAAGTTATAGAAAAATGAACTCTTCCAAATGCTGAGATTGAGTGAAACCCCAGCCAAAGAACTCTGTACTTATCTTTGTGAAACATACTCTTTACTGAGGTTTGAGATTATAGAAAAAATGTCTTATTTGGATTTAAAAAATTAACCAAACATATAATGCTTACCTTTTTTCACTGGGTCAGATACCTGTTGAGTATCAATGCCTTGAGTCTGTGAAGCAGAATAAAAACAGGAATGAATGATTATCAAGTTCCAAAAGACTGATTGACCAGAAGGTATTATCAGTCAGCTCCTTTATGGGTTGTTCAAGTAGTGTTCACCAGGACAGGGGAAGCTTGGTAAGAGTTCAATAACTAGTGGGAAAAAGAGTTAACATGTAAGGGGCTGGTCTTTTTTTTTTCCCCCACACGCAGAGGGCAACCTCGGCATTCAGTATTTAGCATGATTTTCAAAAGCTCAGAAGACTCAGCAACTTGTGTTCATTTTGCAAGCTGCTAGGTTCTCAGTATTATAAAAAATATCTAAATTAAATTATTTTTAATGAATGTAGGAACATAACATTAGACTATATTATTTTTATCTATGATCTTTAAGTGTTTGTCAACTCCAACAAGACTCACATTGTCTAAATAGTTATGTAGGATGATGAATAGCAACAATGGAGAAGTTTTTAAAAAATATTACATCTTATATTCTGACAATGACCCTTTAGTAAATTTCATCCTGGGATGAAAAATACAAGTATTTTTGATTTTATTACTTCTCTCCTTAGCGATGCTAAGGAAATGTGAAAATGTTCTCCTGATATTTTGGGGTTTTTTGTTTTTTTTTTTTTCAGAAATGTAGCCATTTTAATTCATGAGGGCATATCATAGTTACAAATCAAAAAAAAACCCAACATTTGCAAATAAACATGATAATAACAATGCCAGAAGGAGTACATATAAGCAAGCTGCTCAAGATTGAATTCTTTATGCTGTTCTGTTCAGCAAATGAACCTGGATACAAACATCTCATATTGACAAGGGACCTCACTTCCTACTCAATATGGCTTGTTTATTTTTAGTCTGGGAACCTGGACATCCATGCTTTCTCAGTAGCATTAATTGCCACTGCTCTGTTTTTCCAGTGTTGGGGCTTCTAAAAAGAAGGATTGGCAGAAAATGCAAAAAGCTTGAGAAACACTGGTATAGCTGTTGAACCAATAAAAGCATTAATAAAGCAGTCAGCATTATAATGTTTATATACATAAAAAGAATATTACCCATAAAAATATCAATGTGTCTTCTTTCCAAATGACAGTTTTCTCTAGGTCACCATAACAATGCTTCTGTTTTACATCCTTAAGGCCATATAGTTTTCTAGGGCTGAACAGCAGCAAAATGCTGTTGAGGGCTACGTACAGCTCCAGCATGCGTTTCTGTCAAAAATTCTACTGTAGCTGTGATATTCCTCACTATTCACTTTTTTCAAATGTCTCTAAGAACTGTCATCAAGAACAATAACAGAAATTTTGGTAAGTCTTTTTATCTAATAAACTTAATTAGTCACTGAAGTAGATCCACATGGGAAAGTGCCCATAATCATGAGAGGAAGAGAAGTAAGAAGCTTCTTGCACTGATTGTGACTCATAGCTAGTGTTTTACTCCATTCCTTAAACTGGCTCTGATGCTCAAAAAAAAAAAATCTTGTGTGATCTGATTTAACTCATTAACCCAGCAGAAAACCATCTCATTCTTTTTGATGGCTTTGGTTTATTCTGTTAAACCAGGTCACGGCAGGGACTGAACATCAGAGGGATAGAAGTGGAAGGAATATACACCTATAGCTGCCAGATAACATGGGAGATACAGAATCCTGTTGGATAACTGATTTGAGGGGATTTCAAACTCAGGAAAAGAACTGGAAGGGTGTAACACTGCTTAAGGTAAGAGCAGTCCAGACAAACACAGAAGACCACCATAGAAAGTTAGGGTATTGTTTCTCACAGAAAGTTAGGGATTGTTTCTCATCCATTTAGTTTAGTCTTTAAAATGGTAATATACGTAAAAGAAGCATTCAAGAACAAAGAAAGGCAGGGATGCCTTCATAGAACCACATTAAAAGAATCATACATAATCCACACAAGAGCCTTTGTTAAAGCTTAATTACTCTAGGATAGATATTAAGTAATGGACTATCATATCCCTTATACCAACAGACATTTCACATGATGTGATGAGCCATTTTACAACCACTTTCTATCCTCCCTTTTCTCCTCCTGCCACATTCCCTGTTGTATATTCCTATATTCGGCTATAAGATTTGTGTGGAATCTTTTAAGTAGTGTTAAATTAAGAAGAGTTAAATTAAGAAGTGTGAGTAGTAAAAGTCTAATTTTAGTAACATTTATAACTTTTCCTTTGACACTCTTTATGAGATAAGGAGAACATAAAATTAATTGTGGCATATCTAAATAATTCTAAGTTACTTGGCATTCCAGTCTAACACATCAGAATTTAGGACTTTGGAGTTCACCCTGGCTTGCTGTTTCACTACCTTCTTGTGTTCCTTCAGGCACAGCTAATAATAAGAAACACTGCAAATTTATTTAATTGGTTAAAGAAAGTCACTATCAAATTTATTATTGCTATAGACCTATAGACTACTCTGTTATTCACAGCTGGACTAACTGAGGCAGGAGAAAAGGCCTAGGAGGATCTTTACCTGCTTGTTGTTACGCAGTAGTTTAAGAGAGCATTATGGAAATGCTGTCCTATGGACTCCAAGTCTTTCACGTGTGTGTTCTTTCATATGTCTTTTCAAATGTGTGTTTTGTCTGCAGCCTGAAGCATCAATCCCTGTAAGCTAGGGATCTATAGGCCAAACCAGTCATGTGAAGGAACACAAATTTTATTTAAAACAAGCTGTACCTAGATGAAAAACATTAAATGTACTATTTCTGACACTGACTTTCTGCACAAGAGTTTTGTTTGTATTAATTTGTTGTAGAAGTTAAACTAGAGAGATTTAGTTTACTTGCTGAAGGTTTAATTTAATACCTGAAGGTTTAGTTTTATATCCATAGTATCAATGTCTTTGTGATTGGAAGTCTGCATAGGAAGTCAAAACCATTTATATCAAAACAAGTAAATTTGGCAATCTTTGCTGTCAAATGGACATCTGGGATCTATTCTGAATCTAATCTCATTCTGGAAAGTAGTTGTATGCCAGAAAAGAAGCAAATGAAAGAAATAAGGAATTTGATAACTAGATTTTTTGCAGAGGATATGGGGAGAAATATGCTGAAAACATTTTGATGAAAACTCTTTTTGCTTTGAAGATATAATTTATTACCAGAAAGGAGAAAGTATATTAAAGGAAAACCTGCAAATAACCCACTCTGAAATGCAACTAAATCTAAACAAAGCAGTCAGAAACGCTTGGATGCTGTGCAAAGATGTAAACAATATCAAAACAATAAGGGACATAGAGACATCAAACTAAAAAAATTAAGTGGAAAGGAAAATCAACTGTTTCTAAGGGAAAGAAAATGAGGTTATCTTTTTATCATGTTTTGGGTACACCAGATGGAAGGGTAACATTCCTCCTACAATAGATCTATATTTGCAATTCAAGTCATGGCCCATTAAAAGCAGTGGTGATTTCCCACAATCACACCATCTGGATTCAACATTCGTACTACTTTCAAGATAAAATTGTCCCACAGGAGTTGAGCTTTGCTTACCAAGAATGAAATCCATGAAGCCCTTCATTATCCAGGAACTCTGTTTCTCCTGGATGCACCCTTACTGTCAGTATCACAGCCTTCCTTGTCACTTTTGGAGGGGGATGGTGGTGGTAGTGATGATGATGATGGTGTTTCCTGCCAGTGAATGGCATAAGATGTGAATCTTGAAGAATTTGGACTTCACTGGATCTTTAGAGATGGCCCCCAGATACTCCTACAGATTGGAGTAGGGGTAAGGATAATAGTGGGCAAAGTAGCAGGTGTTTTGGTCATGAGGAAACAGGAACATCCAAAGTTAGAAATAGTGATGTCCACTTTGCCTCACATTGTTTTTCTAATGCTTGATTAATTTCCAGTCCTTCACCAGCCATTTCTTATGCTGTGTCTTTGCATTAACTTCTGAGTACAACAATGACCACAAGCCATATTTAGATAGGCTGTTATAGTTGGTAAAGCTGACAGTAGTGAAGCAATCCCTCCCTGTGCATTGCTTACTTGTAAGTAGTACCACTGTGTGTCTGCTTGTGCAGAGGTCAGTGTGTGGGTCGGCTAGTATGCAAACTCAATGTTGGTAGGCAGAGAGCAGACAAACAGTGTCTTGCTGGTTAGCACTGCAGTATGATATAGTGTTAAATAGTGTGTGCTGTCATGTGCACACCACAGTGAATCAGGTGCAAATCTGATTTACACTGCTATAAATCAAAGTCTGTGTAGCTGCCAGAAAAAGATGCCTACTCCCACTGAGCATATCAATAATGCAACTGATATCTTGATTAGGACTTTTAATAACAACTTGAATTTCTAAAAACATTCTCTGCTCTACACTTTAAAAGAAGGTGCTTAAGAAAAGGTGCTGAGTTTGTGTGTGTGATTATCACCTATAGAACACCTTCAGTGCTAAACAAGCACCCATATTCTACTGCAACTTGATATTTTCTATCCCCAGAATTGCTAACTGCCTGTAACTGCCTGCACAACGTCATTCCTCAGGAGAGGAGGGACAACTGGCCATACTTAAGGCAGCAGTTTTCAGCTCCTCACTTGGAAAGTTTCATTAAAGCCTGAAAACCACAACACCACAACACACTGTTGGAGAGTTGGACAGGCTGAATAAGAATCACTTCCAGTTGCCTGCGCATGAAATTCAAGTCACTAATAAAGAACACGGAAAGCTGCACTTTTTAAAGAACAGCAACTAAAAGACTATAACAGAAATCCCTGTCCTTGTTTACAAAAAGGCAGGGAGCTGGGATTCTGAGTGTTCCTCCACATCTTATCCCTTCCAATAAATTAGCATGTCCAGTTGCAAAGAACAGAGGTTCCTTTCTAGACAGACAGCAATTACCAGTTTTCTTGGTTACCAAATGTAGCAACCTACTTATGACAGGTAATATGCCCATACTGCAGAAGTAGCTAATTTCTAGATAAACATGATGTCAATGAGTACCAGTGCTTTTCAGTGTATTACAAGCTTTTACTAACTGTGTTGGCCTCAAAAAGGGTGCCAGCTCCCTTTCAGTTTTGTGTTTCTGAAAATTTAGTGGCCACAACTAGTTATACTAGGATTGCAAAACTGTTACTATGCTTTCTTATCAATGTAGAAGTATTTCAGGACCAAAATCAACAACTGCCAGAAGTTCCAAGTTCATCCAAGGCAACTGGATAAACTTAGCAAACACAGGAAAGAATAAATAACTCTCATACTCAACCAGTGACAGTGGAATAAAGCAACTAAGTTCCTTCAACTCTGTCCAATTAATTCTTGCCAGATGTAGAAGCCTGTAATTAAGCACTGATCCAATCTGGCCAGGTTTTGTGTATAAATTTTGGCAAAAACACTATAGCAAATAGGATAACAAAATATTCTCCCAACAGATTTCAGTGTTGATGTTGCAGTCATACAGCTCTCATCTTTTTCACTTTCTCTTCTGGCTATTATAATTCTCCTCTCATATTTTCACAACAAACTCATTTTAAGCTGGTTCGTATTGTTATTCATTGAGAACAATGGCTTGAGCTGAGCTGGACTTCTGGGATAAGTAACAGTACAGGCAGAACTTATGGATGATGAGACAGATGCATAACTATGTAACTAATTTCCATCCCTATCTAGAGGAAAATAGTTTATTCCCAAATGCTTTAAAATAACATAGGAAAGCATATTGATTTCATTAGGCTTTGAATTAGATTCATAAAGGAAAGCAAAGCAAGTCCTTCATCTACCTACAGCTCACAGCAAGATTTATCAGCCTGTTCCCACCTTCTCCTAGATAAAAACTTCTTTGTCAAGAGTTTGCTATAGCTGTATTATCTCCAAACCTGTTGTAGTGTACAACAACACTACTGGAGTAGTGAGTATCCAATCTGAAAAAAAAGAGTCACACAGGAGGAGTACAAGCAGTAAGATTATACTGTAATCTTTATAATATAAAGGACACACTTAAAAGTGGTTCATCCTATTTACACCAGTTCCACATAGATGAATAGGGAAGCCTCCTTTTGAGCCTCATTTTTTGGATCTGTGAAGAAATCTTCACTAAGCTCTAAATAAAAATACATATTATTTTGTGCATGTACAAACTTTTGCTGTGCAAACTTACCTCTGCTCCCTGTACAGCTTGTTTACCATCAGATGACAATGATGAATATTAGACACCATTGGTACCATTAGGAAAACAGGTGCTCCAACTACAGCGTGAAGTCACTGGTTGCTGACCACACAGATACTGCATATCTGTAATGCAGTGTCCCCCTGTAGCTGACATGACATCTGCCTGGCATGTCAAAGATAATCTGATGACCCACTCATTCTGACAGTAGGCCTTTCCTTACTGTAGTACTCACAGCAGTCCTACCCTATTCCATTCAAGATGCTAGGATTTATTTTCAAAGGTAACAGAATAAGAGCATAGATATCTCAGTCCCACCTCTATGCATTTTCGATTTTTTTTATTTCCAAATTGCAATCTGTTGTATATATAAAGCACAAAAACTGCCCAAGTCTTTACTATCTCAAAATAAGTTTGCAGTATGACTACTGTACAGACTGCATGAAAGCACTTATTAGCTGACATTCATATCTAAATGTATAGCCCTGCAATACAGTACTGACATTGCTAGAACATGAGATTTGTACTGAATCCGTAAGACCTCAACACTGAGGCATGTCAGATTTGCCCTGTCTGAACTTTATCTGCCTGCAGCTTTGTTTCACCTAATTTATCTGTGACAGCAATCTCTCTAATTGACATGTATGGCTAATTTGTTTTATTTTGTTTACCTTTGAGTGATACAAATATAGGCTTATACAGATAGCAGTGACAAGGAATTGTTCTATGTAGAAATGCAGGCCTACAGCTGGACAAACCTCCTTCCAGGGGGTAACAAAGAGAACAGGGAAATATCTAACATATGTAAAGAACACTGGATATGGTAAATTCAAACGTAACATGGACTTGCACATTCATGAAGAAAGAGAAGGGTGCAGCAAACATATGGAAATGACCCCAGAGTTATTTGGATCCTAGAGTGAGGAGGAAGATATCAGTATAACTATTATATTTCTCCCAGCAAAGGACTTCAGAGGCTGATAACGCACAACAAACAACTCTTACCTTCACCAGAACAAATTGTCTACAGTGAAACTGCTAACCTTAGGATCCAGAGTAGCAGTGGAAGGGAAGGTAGAAGAAGGGTGTGAATGAAGCTTACGTATAACAGTTTTAGTCGCATTATTATTTTTCCTTTTCCTGCAGCAATTAGATCTGGAATAATAATGATTTTCCTTTTAAGATTTCACTTACACTAACAATAAATTCTTGGCTTTATTAAATATAAGGCATTCTTCCTTTTTGCCCATATACAAGATTTTAAGCATAACACAATAACTCACCAATGTGCTTAATTCTGTTCAGATGACTTCACATTGGTGTGGCCAGTACACTAGGGAAAACTGACTGGAAGGTCACAGATCATTCAGATTCTGCGGCTCCCAAGGATGGGGCACTACTGTCTCTGAGTTAGAAGATAACAGAATCTCTTTTGCCCTTTAAAAAAACAGAGTGCAAACAGAATCTTTAAGAAAGTCAAAGAACCCTCACATCAGTCTCTCTCTTTCAAGTGGAGACAGGCTGCAGAGATTATCTACATTAAAATACCATAACTTAGCATGTCAGAATAAATTTACATCCCACTGTAAAGGAAATGTAATGTGCCATCATATGTACCACACTGAACTTAAAAATAGTGTTGAATGAACTGTTAATCAATTAAACCACAAAGCACTGGTATTCAACTGCAGCAGGGAATAGCTTACTTGGGTTCCTATAGAAAGTGTTGGCACCTTTACTTATTACTGCTTTTATGACTAGTATGTTATGGTTAAGGCCTACAATCTCAATGCCTGAGTCAAAAATCTGGACTGTGCAATATTGTACAAATAATGAACAAAGCTTATTCCTACAAAACTTATCACACAGTGTGTATGCAAGAACAAGATAGTACTGGCTAACATGACAGGAGAGGCAGATTAGGTGCTATCAAGAATTTTGTAAAGCAACAGAGGCATTTGAAGGCACTGGGGAGTTATTTGCTTGTGAGCAAGGAATTCTTCAAAGTTGGGAGAAGTCACTTGAATGAAAACATGTTAGGCAGAGGAAAGGCTTTGAAAAAATACCTAGTATTTGGATGATTGGGAATCTGGTACTGTGCATTGACCACAACACTGCCCAGAGTTGTTTACTTGTCACAGAATCATAGACATGATCCCCTTTCAAAGCATTCCATATCCTTCCTACTATCTGCTTATATCAGGCCAAAAGATAAAAGTTTGGTTTCATATGAATTTGTTTTTGCTTTGGGCCTTAATCAGATACCAGCGCCATTAAGACTTGTTTTTTACCAGAAAAAAAATGTCTCATTGCTTTAGGTCTGGTTCCTGGATCTAATTCTCTTCACAGCGGACAAAATAACATAATGGACAAAAGAGCTTCACCTGGAGGATCTGGCTTCTGGTGTAGATGACATCATATGTAAAAAGGAAATGAATTAAAACCAAAACTGATGAAACCATTTTTGAAATGTAGTGGATACCTAACTCTAATGGATACATGGCTCAGTAACAGGTGATTCAGGGTGAGCTGCAAGATGGGACTGAGATAACTAGTCACTGAGATCAAGAACCATTAAGTGTGACTAGACCTACTTCCAATTTTGTTTAGAGTTTGACAGTAATGTGAGCACTAATATTTTCCCTCCTCCCCTTTCTTCCACCCTGTGATTTTATAGGATAAATGTAGGGGAATATTTGAAAGGGTCTTAATGTGTAAGAACAGTACACTGCTCACTGTCGTCTCTCACAAGTGTGTTGGGGGGGGTCTTCATCCTAAAAAAACTAAATTAAAATACTAAAATGAAATTGAAAGTCCACAGGAGGACTGCTTGCTTTTGTTTATTTTCAGAGAGAAGAGTTGCTTCTGTTTAGGTTTATTTTATGCCCTGCAGAAGAATTAGTTCAAATCTCCATAGTAATGTACTCCATCGTTGTTCTATGCCTGGATAGTACTCATCCCTGTGTACAGTTGAGACAGGAGGCACAAGCAGGAAAGTCTGGTGGGTTATACAGTGAAGGCCCAACAGAAATTCACACAGGAGTTCAGGAGTAAGTGTGGTGTTGGAGATCACAGTTACCTAAACACACTGTCTGGACTCCCTCAGCTTCCTCTTGTTCTTGAAGGTACTCCTGAAGAACAAACCAGAACACAAAATTTTGGATCTGCTTGGGTTTGCTCTTTGGAAGACCTGCTTTTCCTCCCCTGGTTACAGAGGCACCAGTGGTGAGCTCCTTGGCTAACAGAGCAGTCCAAGTTGGTTGTGTGTGAATATCCATCCCCAGGATTTCTGTGATTTACAGGCAGACACGACTGCTCAGCCCTCTGAACCGTGCCCAAAGCAAAGGGGACATATGGTCACAGAAGGGACTGTGGTTGGTAAGTGTGATCTTTTACTGCGCAGAAGAGGGAGAATTTAAACCTACGTCTTACAGTAGTGACGTTACTATGTACTCTTGATCTGTATAATCACAAAACACCTACCAGCTCCACAGTCTCTAGGACTAAACAGTCATGGGAGTTTTGCTGTTTGCTGCCACAAGATGAATGCCATGACTTCTGTATCGGCTATATATGTTATGGTCGTATCAGTTTGTACATGAAATGAGAGAACACTGGTTCTTAATACACACAGGAAAGTTTCTTCATCCCTCTCATCATCACATTCCATGTATACAACCCCCTCTAGAGTCAGACTCTGCATCTTCAACTTTGGAAAGCAATGTATATGTTTCTCTCTGTAGTGAAGGTAGTCCTGAGATGCACACAGGTGTGGAACATCTGTGCCATGCTATTAAAATATTTGAAATAAATTATGTCTCTGAGAAAAGAAATTTGAACCATATTGTTTCCCTACTTATGATGAGAGAAAATTGTGCATTTAATATAACTATATTACTACAGTGTGCCACAAGAAAACCCTTGTAATATGAGAAAACAGTGGGGAAAAATATCCTTAAACTGTCCTTAAAACTATTCTGTTTTGTAGGATGAAAAGTAATATTAGCTGATTAATATCCTGTTATTTCCAGAATTACTTTTTTCCTTTCCCAAAATGCCAGTTGAATGATCAGATTTGCTTTCCTTGTATAAACAATAATTTCTGTAATTTAATCACAAAACAAAATCAGTCATGTGCTCTTATTTCAATTATCTATTTTTATTTCTATCATTGTAGTAATTAAAAATCATCATCTCAATCATGTTGTGTTAGTGCAATGTTTTGCTAAGAGTCAACCTTCCTTTAGAGGGGTTAACAGGAGAGGCAGGGATAGGAGGCAGGATTGACTTTGCCCAGAGATTGGAGTGAAAAAACTGCCAATGTGTTATAAATCTGTCCTGTCCACTGGGCATCACTGTCGCTTACTGGAGTTTACAGGGGAAACTTCACAGCCTAAACTTTAGTCTGGGATCTCCAGGAATCTTTGGGTACTTCTGGTGAGAAGTTATGTATTGCTAAATTCTTTCTTAGGAAAAAAGTGTTTGTCTTGGTAGCAGCTTGATTTAAGATGTTTTCTTTAAGCTTAATATTGTAAATTGTTTCACTGTCTGTCTTAATTTGTTTCTGAGTGAATCAAGAATGGCAGGAATTCAGGATGAGTGCACTAAAGCTTTGTTTGATATTAGAGAAATCTTTCTTCACAAATTATTAATTTGTTTTTAAAACATCTCTGCTATCTTTCCTTGAAAGTTTTATTTGGTTTTTCAAAATAGGTGCCATTTTGAGATCCACGTGTAGACTTTATGAAGGAAGTTTTTGACACGTTTTCTTTCATGTAATTCTTTCTACAGTGTCACAGTACACCTAAAGTTCTTTGGGTTTGCTACTTCTTTCCCTAAGAACCATTTTTTTTCTAGTGAACAGCTAAGAGAGCAGAGGAAAACAGAACCGACTTTTAAAAATTTCGGTTACTGCTGCCAAGAGGTGGAACAAGAATGTCCACGAGGTGGTAGCAGTCTGTAAGGGAGGGCCGGGAGACGGCTCTGAGCTTCTCTTCTTGATCCAGGGAAGCAAATATGTATGCCCTGAGTGTCTTGTGCATTATAGTGG